TTAAATTATATACCCCCGAGCGATATCTATTCAGAATACAAATACCTTACTGATTGGAAGAGCAAGTATTATCATGGAAAATAAAAACAAAATTGTAGGTAGAAATATACGATCCTCCCGACATCTATCTACTATAATTTGATATGGGAAGAATTTCTTTATTAAAGTTCTTTACTACTAAACTATTAAAAAGACCAGGAATATATCTATAGGCTAATAGTTGTAATATGAGATCTAATTGTACTAGCTCGTTGCAACACATCATTTATCATTTATCAAATTTATTAGAGATAAAGAGACAGTAACCTCCCAATTTTTATGTAGCAATGCTAAATGCAGAAACAACCTTCATTAGAGTGAGTTATAGGGGATATCTCTAATACACCATTAATGGGCTTAAATGAAAATATTAATTTAAACTGGCAACCAAAAGATACGCAGTTTCCACAAGACATTGTTGCAACTATACACTACTGAGATAAATAGGTCCCCAGCTGGATATAGTGTGACAACTGAAATTGCTACATATCTGCCTTGAAGTGTAATATATAATTCACAAGCTGGGTAAATTGATGTAGAATAAAGACAACCAAAATATAGTCAGAATCCACGAGATATTGTTGTAACTCCATACTACTGAGATAAATAGCTATACAGCTGGATACAGTGTAACAACTGGAATTGCTAGAAATCTGACGGAAGTCAAAGAAAAAAAAATCAAAAACTAGGATAATTGTTATAGGGGATTCACCAATGTAATAGCTAAATATAAAGTCAGAATAAATGTCGAAAAATCACTAAGCCGCTATACTACAAAGCAGTCACAGGTAGCTACTTTATGCTTTGTTTTATTAAGGGATTCTATATTTGGATCCTCTTTGAAGGGGTTCCTTTTCTTTTTTTTTTTCTATTTCTGGTGATTCTCCTTAAAGCAACATTTTTCTTTTTTTCTCGCTTTTGGTGAACCGGAGTTCAGCCTATCACTCGATAGGACTAATTCAGATTACTATCCTAATAAACTACACTACACAAAACCTGAACCCCTGCACGTTCCTGACACACTACACTAAACATTAACTCCTACACTACCCTAACACAGTAATACGTGCCCCTGCACTACGATTAGACACTACAGAGGTACACTAAACATTTACCCCTACACTACACTAAACATTAACTCCTACACTACCCTAACACAGTAATACGTGCCCCTGCACTACGATTAGACACTACAGAGGTACACTAAACATTTACCCCTACACTACACTAAACATTAACTCCTACACTACCCTAACACAGTAATACGTGCCCCTGCACTACGATTAGACACTACAGAGGTACACTAAACATTTACCCCTACACTTCACTAAACATTAACCCCCTACACTACTTTAACAATTACACTAACTCTAATTAAAAAATATAAGCAGTATTTATACATAACAACAAAGGATTTTAATGCCTTGTCAGGGTGTCAGGGTGTCAGGGGACATTTATAAATACCTTCTTCGATCTTGTGATGTCTCCAGAATCCCTCAATGGCATTATTTCCCCATATTATACAGGTCATTGTTATGTGTCAAACTCTCATTATTTTAGCCTCCATTAATCTGACTTGACCGTTGGTATTTAATTCTCTCTATAATTATTCTCTCCTTTAATATTTTCTATAGTATGTCCAGTCTACCTGTTCTTCACATTTCCTTTTGCTGTCTCTACATCCTCTCTTGCTTTTACCCTTTCTTCTTCTCCCTCTCTCTTTTTCCCTCTTTCACTTTTTATCTTCCTTTTTGTCTCTCTCCTTCCCTCTCTTCTTCTTTGTGCCTTGCATCTTTTCACTTTATCACTTTCTCTTTTGTACCTTAATGTTTTTTTTTTCTTTATCCAACCTGTTTGTTGTCTTTATGTTGATTTTTTTTGTCTTTCTCTCTCCGTCTCTGCACTTTCTCTTGCTCCTTCTTATTTTCTCTTTCTCGTTTTGTTTCTTGTTTTCTCTCTCTCCCATGTCTGCCCCCCTCTCTCCACATCCCCCCCTTTCTTTCCATCTCTCGGTCCTTTTATCTTTTTTACTTTTTCACTCTCCCAGACATATAACTGACATTCTCCAAACTAAAACTTTTTATCAAAAGTATAAAAATGACCTATAACTCAACTGTACTTTGCTATCTATAATTCTTTATCAAACCAGGACTTTTAATCATTAGTCATTCTAATGTTTGAAATTTTTGATATTACGCTACACACAGGTTGTATCTCACAAAACATCCACCCAACATTCTGCAACACTTTTCAATTGAGAACTATAAACATATTTCACACAAAAGTATCATTGTAAGAGTTAATGTTAAAACTGTATAATAAACTACTTTAACACACTAGGTAGTGAGCTGTAAATAGACAACCTCAGTTTGATTCGGAGACTCTTGGCAGTACTGGCCTGAAATATTCACAATCATAGTTTAGTGATTAATGCCTAATGTATCTACAAATATATTTTTATCATCTTACCTGCCATGTACTAAACCAAATAAGACATATTCCAAAAAGTGTTGCCTTGTGTCACGTAGAATGACCTGAAGTCTCTTTCAATAATGCAAAGATACCCTGACTGCAGCAAAGTGTTACCAATAGAAATGGTACTTAAGAGAAATCAACAGGCAACGTGTGGCACCGTGGATTTTAATGTAGTGTAGTTTAGCGTTTCCTGATGGCAGAATTTCAGTGTAATCTGTAAAAATCCTGTTATCGGAGAGGAATGGGTAAAATCAAGATAAAGGTTTGTCTTACCTGGAAATTCTCGATAAAACTAGTCACAAAGTACAGGTCTGCCATCGCCACTCAGACTGCTAATATTAGCCAGAAACATGTCTGGAACACGATAGCAGTGGGGCTTCTAAAATATTTATTTAGGACGAACAATAGTTAGGTGTATAGGATTACTGATAAATATTTAAGTAGCTTCTTTGTAGCAATAACAAAATAAAATCAACACTTTACATGTATTAGCATATCAGAGATGTAAATAGAGAAAATATTACAGTCAGGGCCATCTTTTAAATGAAGATGACTGAAAAGATCTTTTAGTGTAAGGAAGGAAAAACTAAGAGTTATTCAGGAATTCAAAGTTAGCCCGACAGAATACAGACCTGGCTTGGAGAATTTTCCAAATTTTACTATTTTGACCTAAAAATGTAATTCACTTTCAGTTCTGATAATTCATTTTTTTCCACTTGATTTATTTTGGTCTGGTATAGTCCATTCAAAAAGTTTCATCCAAACAACGGAAAGCCGGTTAGAGCAAAGTTATTTCAGATTGATTCAAAACAAGTACAGAGATTAAGGAACGCTCCAGGCACCATGATAAAGTCCTTATGGTGCAAGGAAGTCTTAGGGCTCGGGATTACCTTTAACAAAAAAATCAAGCGCCTGATCACTCTTCCCACGAACATTCACTGTGTCTGAAGCTTGAATCAGGAATCAGATTGCGCTCTAAGCCTATCAGTAGCTCCCCATTCACTAATAAAGTATTAGTTGTTCAAGTTGAAGGATTCAGTCTGTAGTCCTTGACTTGAAAACAGACGTGGCTTCTTTACAGTAATGCGTAGCAAGTTAACTAGCAAACTTTGACACTAATAGAAAGTTATCAGTTTTCTATGCCATATGTGACTTGAGCAACATGGACTATGTGAGATAGTTATCATATGTAACTTTAAATTAACTGGCATCTACAGAGCGAAAAAACACACCAAATTGTTTATATTACCTGACATATATTTCCATAGAAACTGCAATGTTTACATTGCAGCTCTAAGTCTACCCTCAGTGGCTGACTACCAGACAGCCACTATTATTATTAATATTTATAAAGCGCTAACAAGTTCAGCAGTGCTGTACAATGGGTGGACTAACACACGTATTTGTAACCAGACAAGTTGGACACACAGGAACAGAGGGATTGAGGGCCCTGCTCAATGAGCTTACATGCTAGAGGGAGTGGGGTAAAATGACACAAAAAGGTAAGGGTAGGGTAGAAAAGTAGGTTTCTAGGAATGTGTTCATTGAGGGCTTTTGATGACAGTTTCAGGAGAGGAATCAGGGTGCAGGAGGGAAAGCAGTTCACAGTTTAATTGATAAGTTTTTCGAGATTTCTTGAAGGAGTGGAGACTGGGTGAAAGTCTAACAGAGAGGGGAAGGGCGTTCCATAGGAACGGTGCAGCCTTAGAGAAGTCTTTAAGGTGAGCATCAGAGGTAGGAGTATGAAAAGAGGATAGATGTAGGTGTCCGGCAGAGTGTAGGGGTCTAGATGAGACATATTTGTGTATTAGTGAGGATAAATAGGTTGGGCTTCCTGAATTGAAACTGACCTTTTGATTGGTATCTGATGCTGGACGTCCTCAAACTCTACAAGAGGACCTCCAACGTCAGATTTTTCCCCATAGTGCATTAGATCCCACTCATCTTGGGACGTCGGATGGGGTGGAGCGTCGGGTGAGATCAGCCTGTTATGTAAATGGTGTAGGTTCTCTCTGTAATGGCACAAATGAGCAAAAATATTTTTGAGACCTGAGTGGGGATTAAGTAAAGAGTTTCTCTGAGGGCTTGCCTGTTGTCAGAGTTCTCTTATTCTCTTGCATTTACTTAAGCTCTCCCTAAGTTAAAAGGGAAATCCAGATGTGGACATATGTGGACCCCATGCTCTCTGCACCTAGAGGGGTATCAGCTACACCTCACTGACAAAGCCCAAAGGTGATTGAAAGATCAATCCACAGTGGCGTACATACCGCGGTCGCAGCTGCGACCGGGCCCGTCACTCCAGAGGGCCCAGTCGCCCTGCAGACACCTGTGACTGGGCACCAGCTGCCACGCCTTGCGGCCCCGGCCCGTGTGGCAAACCGCCGGGGTTGCATGTTAAGTTGCCCATCGGGAGGCCCATGCTGTCAGGCCACCCAAAGGAGATGGATTTTCAGGGGCCTGGTCAGCGCTGGGTGCTTTAACAGCACGACCAGGCCCCCTGTGATGACATCACAGCTGGGAGAAAGTGACTCCCTGGTCACCCCTCCCAGCTATCAGAGCCCGCATGGGAGGAAGCAGGAAGGAGGAGGGAGTCAGAGTGGGAAATCTGACTCCCATCATGCTGAGCCCCCACTGGACCCCAGGGAAAGTCACAAAAGGTAGGAAAGAGGAAACATTTTGTGTATGTGTGTGTGTCTCTGTTTTGTGTGTGTCTGTCTCTGTATGTGTGTGTGTGTGTGTCTCTGTATGTGTGTGTCTCCGTATGTGTGTGTCTGTGTGTGTGTCTCTGTATGTGTGTCTGTGTCTCTGTATGTGTGTGTGTCTCTCTATGTGTGTGTCTGTATGTATCTGTGTGTCTCTGAATGTGTGTGTGTGTCTGTGTCTCTGTATGTGTGTGTGTCTCTGTATGTGTGTGTGTGTCTGTGTCTCTGTCTCTGTATGTGTGTGTGTGTCTGTGTCTCTGTATGTATGTGTGTCTGTGTCTCTGTGTGCGTGTCTCTGTGTGTGTGTGACTGTCTCTGTATGTGTGTGTGTCGGTATGTATCTGTGTGTGTCTGTGTCTCTATGTGTGTGTATCTGTATGTATGTGTGTCTGTGTCTCTGTGTGCGTGTGTGTTTCTCTGTATGTGTGAGTGTGTGTCTCTGTATGTGTGTGTGTGTCTCTGTATGTATGTGTGTATGTATGTGTCTGTATGTGTGTGTCTCTGTATGTATGTGTGTGTGTGTGTGTGTCTGTCTGTGTATGTGTGTATGTATGTGTGTGTCTTTCGGGGGGTGTCTGTGTGTGTGTGTGTATGTGTTTGTGTCTATGTATGTGTCGGGGGGGCCCACGGATCGGGGGAGAGAGGGGAGAGAAGGGGGGGCCACAGAGCAGTTTTGCACTGGGGCCCCATGGATTGTGTGTACGCCACTGTCAATCCAGGTTGCTTTACCTGTTGTGCAGAGGAAACTTGGCAGCATTTCGGATTTGGACTTCCCTTATGGGCAGGAACAGCCTAAAATGAAAATGGTATAGGTTGTCTTAGAAATGGCACAAGTGATCAAAACCATATTTGTGACCTGAGTGGGGACTAACAAAAATCCTAGCTATTGTGGTTTCCCTGAAATTGCCCGTTCTCAGAGTTCTCATATTCTCTGATTTTGTAACAAAAATATTTGCCAACTGTTTAGGCCAGCTTTCAGAAATTACTGCTTTAAATCTGATTGGAAAAACTGCTTCACTGCCTATGTACAATATTGAAATCAGATCTACAAGGGGGTCTCAGAGCAGGCATTCTCTAGGGGGTCTCTAGAAGCAGTCATGAGTATTTTCTCTCTTAGTAAAAAAAAAAAGGAAATATCAAAGATAAAGTAAATCGTTCTTTGCATGGACACGTTATCTATTAATTCATGCCTCTGTTTGTCAGATCTTTTATTTCTCCATTTGTAAAGGATTCGCCAGGCTGAGTAAGTGCTGACGGCTGCAGAAAGTGGCCCAGTATTCTGATGTTATCATCGAAATATCTTTATTCTAGTTCTTTTTCATAACGCCGTAGGCAACGCATCACATTCCAATGACACATGATGTGGTATTTTCAGGACAAAAGGATTGTAAGGACATTGCCTCAAATATTGCTATGGAAATGACAATATTTTTGCTTCACTGTAATCTTGATGCTCTCCTACTAACTATTTGGTAACGTATCCGCAACTCCTATGGAAAACTTTCTCCCAAGTAAATATGTAAAAAAAAAAAACTCTCATTGGTGTCTATTACTCAAACAGTACATTTCAATGACCTATGAAGCAAATTGACAGGTCATTGAATATCATAAGATATATATTATTATTTTATTATTTATATAGCACCATCAGATTCTGTAGCGCTGTACAATGGGTGGACTAACAGACATGTAATTGTAACCAGACGTACAGGTACAGAGAGGTGGAGAGCCCTGCTCAGTGAGCTTACATGCTAGAAGGAGTGGGGTAAAGTGACACAAAAGGTAAGGATAGTATTAGACTAATGACAGTTGCATGAGAGAAATCAGTCGGGAGCTATTAACAGTTTCTATAGTGACACAAAGGGTAAAAGTAGGGGTACGAAGTAGGTTGTTAGAAAAGTGTTCAATGAGGGCTTAGTAGGTAACTTTTGACTTCAGTGAAAACTGTTGGAGGATTTACAGTTTCCTTATTTTGGCCAAACGGTTAAATTAACTTTGAAATGTTGTCAATTGACACTGTAGTGAATAAACCTGTCTGTCTGTTTAGGTTGGCATAAAAATGTAATCTATACACAGAGCCGGTGCAAGGATTTTTGCCGCCCTAGGCAAAAGAAAAATTTGCCGCCCCCCCATGTGACATCACAATGCCCCACCCATATGATCTGCCATATGAACTAACACCAGTGCTGCACACAGTGTGTGTTTAGATTAAAAAGCCTGCAGGGACAGGCTATAGACACCGGAATCACTTCATTAAGCTGCAGTGGTTCTGGGGACTATAGTGTCCCTTTAATGTGAGGTAAATTAGAGATTAGTGTCACTAATAACATAGATTGCCTACTTACAACCAGATGAGGATGGTGATGGGCTCTGGCTGCCGTTTGGCTCCACTGGTCTGTTGTAGAACAGGATCTCTGAATGCTGTTTGTAACTGTGGTCCCAAAATTCAATGTTCTGGGAGAACGGGAAGCAGCTCAATTTTACACAGCTCAAGGTCTGGGCCCCAGGGCCTGACGGTGAGTATCCCCCCTCCCCCTGTATTCTTCTTACTACTCCCCCACTCCCCTCTTCTTCTTACTCCCCCCCTCCCCTCTTC